TGGATGAATTGATGGTAGGGGGTAGCTGGAGGGAGGAAGGCTGTAGGGATATGGATGTGGGTAGACAAAGGGAGAGAGTCACTGAGGGCTCAAGGACGAATAAAGAAGTCACAATTTGCAATCAATGACCACTCACTGGTTTCTTTTAGGACATTCTTCTTTTCTGCTGGGCCTTCGAGCAGGAGGAAAGGCCCACGTTCACCAAGCTCATGGACATGCTGGAGAAGCTGCCAAAACGCAATCGCCGCCTGTCTCATCCCGGACATTTCTGGAAGTCTGCAGAGTGGGTTTCTCTTTCAGCCTCTCTCCACTGCCCTGCCTTCCGGCCCCATCACCCTTCTCCCCCTCCCCAACTCCACCCCCAGCGCACGCAGCCGCCCTGCCCACAGGTTCTGGGGGTCCCCTGGGGTCCAGGTCAGAGTTGGCCTGTGGCACACAACTTGCCTCTTTTTGATCCCCAGCGAAGGCCGATGCCCATTGAGTGGAGCCCCCTGGGGCGAGGTGGCGCCCCAGGTCCACCAAGTCCCCCGTTATGTGCTCAGGGACCCTCCACCAGCACCAACTTGATGGACATACTCCTGGCCCAGCAGCCTGGCCCATCATGGTGGCCCTGGACCCCCGCGGTCTCCATGGCGTAAGAAAAAACAGGGAGTCTCTCAGCTTCTCCCTTTCCTCACGCCCTGCTTCCTCCTGGTGACCCACCAGGCCACGTCCCTCCGTCCCTCCCTTGTTCCTGGCTGCAGGCTCATGGCTGTAGCTGATATCAGGAGCCTGGCCTCTCTCTCCAGGGTCTCCGCTCCAGCCTCCATGACTGAGCTCTCCAGGTGACAGGCAGACAGGCCCCCACTCATCACTGCTCTGCCAGGTGCTCCCAGGCACACCTGGTTGTGCACACGCAGGTCCCCAGACCTGGGGACAGTACCTTACATGCCTCTGCACACTCACACACATGCACTCAGACGTAGACACACGGACATCCACACACAAGGACATTCCTGCACACACAGGCACACTCAGACACACACGTGTGGTAGTCACATTTGTGACACTTGAGGACACACCAGTGTGTAACTCACCAGCACATGCCCACACGTGGATGAGTATACGCAGGTGCACTTCACACATCCCCACCTGCACCCATAGGTATGGCAGAGCAGCTGCCCAGGCCCCCCACGAAGATCCTCAAGGTCCCAGGGTTTGGACTTAAGACCCTCCTCCAGTCATCCTGACCCTGAGCTTGCTGAGCCTAGTGGGCAGAGTCTCCTCTTCCTCCAGGGGCTCAGCCTTCCTCCCTGGAAGTTAGAAGTTCCTCCCTCCACACTAAGGAGGGCTTAGATTGGAATGCTTACTCCTCTGCTGGATTGCTGTGTGTCCCTGAGCAGGTCACTGGGTCTCTCTGAGCTCATTTCAATTCTGAAAAATGAGGCCATAAAACCCTGTGGCAGGAATGCCTTGGGGTACCATGAGGTCCTGTGCTGAGGCACAGTGAGTCCCAGGGAGCAGGTGTTCCCAATATGGTGACGGTCCTTGTCTGCCAGGAGGGACTGTGAGCCTACTCTGGTGGCCTGACAGGATTCAGCACCAACTGGATCTGAGGGCAGGCAGGAGGAGGCAGCCACCAGCCAAACTCCTGCTCAACTCAGGCCACTTAGGCTCTGGGGCCGCAGCCCCGGGATGGACCCAGGAGAAGCTGGTGCTACAAAACTCTGGGGTCATTTGGGTCATTGCTCAGTGACGCTGTTCTCCTAGAGGTCAGGAAGGGGAGGGCAGGAGCTCAACTGGACAGCGGGACATAAACTCTGTTAGAAGAGGAGGCAGGGGACCTTCAGTGTCCATCAGGGGCCAGGCACCAGTCCATCAGTGGAGAGGCAGGTGCTGGACCAAGGAACTGAGGTGCATTGGCTGCTGTGGGTGGTACAGTCTCTGCGTATCACTGTGTCCATAGGGTGGTACTGGACTCACACCCTTGCCTGGGTCTTCAGCCCTAGGGGACCCTCCCCCAGCCCGTGACAATCATCCCTAGTCCAGAGGCTGCAGGCTGCAGCGGGAACATTTGGAGTTTGTATCCTGTCCCTCTCCTTCCTGGCTGTGCATCCTTGAACAAAGCATATAACCTCTCTGGGCCTCAGTTTTCACCCGTGAAAGGGCTACGCTGCACCTACACTGCAGGCTGCTCTCAGGTTTCAATGAGGTCAGAAATGTGTGGCACTTGGCACCGAGCCCAGCGCACAGTAGGTCCCCCGTTGGTAAGAGTGCCTTTCACTTTTCTCAGAGGGGACAGGGGCATCTCACGTCCACACCCCTGTCCCTCTGCCGTTGCTGTATCCACGTCACCGTTCACTGGGCTTCTCTCCCCACTCCAGGCTGTGACCCTGGGACAATGGGACCACGCTGGGCTGCCTCAGCTCCTGAGCCACCTCTCTCTCCCTGCTCCGCCCCTGCCAGCTCGGGAGGCCAGAAGCTCACCACCAGAGGGTCCCGACGGCCGGCTTCTGAGCGCCGCACGACTGCACCGTGGCCGCCCTGCACCCCAGACGTGCGCCCCTCTGCTCGGGCAGGGGCAGGGACCCCCGAGTCAGGACCCACCTGATCAGCCAGGGTGACGGGATTGATGAGTGGGGCCCAGGGGACGGTGTGGCGAGGACAACTCCAGGCTGAAGGTGGAGACCCTGGGCTGCGGGGGGCCGGCAGGAGACCCCGCCCACCAGGCAGGACGTTGACTGGTCAGTGCCGCGCGTGCGCACACGAGGCCCGCTCTGCTGGCCCCCACGAGAGCAGCCCAACTGCCCCGCCTGGAGCCCCCGCTGCTGTGGCCTCTGTAGGTCAATGGGGAAGGGCAGCCCCAGCTGGCTCAAGGCCACTGTGCAGGGCCAGGGTGGGGCAGGGCAGGGGTGGCCAAGCCCATTCCCTTGGAAACATCTAGTTCAGAGGCCCCAACCCAAGCCTGGCACGGTGCCTGGCACCTCTGGACGCAGCTCCCACGTGCGCCGCGACAGTCCTGCGTGTCTTTCGAGCCTCGTCCTGCCTTTGTCCTCTGCCCTGCGAGAGGGTCATCCTATCTCATCTCACTGTGCCATTTGGAAGGCACAGTGACTCCCTGGATTATGTGGGGGGTGGGGGGCTCCTTAGGGCTCATGACATCCCCTGAAGTCTAGGCCCCAAGAACTAGGATGGGGGGGGGTGTTCTAGCACATTCCTTTCCCTTGCTCTTGGGCAGCTGGCACACCCACAGTGATGGTCTCTGGGGCGCGTGTGGAGTGGGTTTCGGGGTTACCTGTCTGGGAGGAGCTTCTCTGGCTGCTCCACCCCATAATAAGCCTCGTTGGGGAAGCGGGGAGGGAGCCCTTTTGTAGAAATCCTTCCCTTTCCAGTCCAGCCTGGGGCAGTCCCTGAGTGGCCTCCTGTTGGGAGCCAGGGTCCCCTTGCCTATTTGTGCTCACTCAACGTCCCCTCTTGCCATCCCTCCCCTTGCTCAAGGCCTGGACTGGTGGCGTTTCCCCCAGAGCAAGGGGGAGGAGAGCCTCTGGCTCATGTCCCCAAAGCCCTGACCCCATGGATCTGACCTGGCACTAAAGGGAAATCTGTCCCCACCAAGAGCAGCAGCAGAGGTAGCAGAGCAGCTGCAGGGCGCCCAGGGCCGGCCCACGGTCCCTCTGGACCTCCTGGCCACTGCCCAGCCTGGTGACCTCACAGCTCCTCCGGCATCCACGCATCGCCCTCCCAGGGAGGGAGACCCAGACTTCAAAACCTGACCTGAGCTGACATCAAAATCCAGCCACATGCACGGGGACCTTCCCCACCTGGGTGGCCCCAGACCGCTCCAGCTCCGGGAAGAACAGGGCAACCTTGTGCTTCCCCAGAACTGGGCCCAGGGGGGTCCCCTGCGCCCCCCAAGGGCCTCCTTGCCTTGCCACATCCCCACCTGCCTGGGACCAGGAGACTCAAAACCCCATGGGGCCCTTCCTAAGTGGACATTCCTGTTCTGGGGACATCCGTCCTGGTGGCTCTTGGCCTGGTGATTGCTTGTCTTGGGGGCATTTCACACGCACTTACAAGACACCCAGAGCTCTTGTCTGAAGATGCCCCCTTCCAACAGTGCCCTCTGTGGAGCCCCCGAGTCCCTGGCCTGGGTGGACCACCCAGCCTGTGCCCAGCGACCTACTGAGTGCCTGCCATCCAGCCCCGGCCTCTCTTTAATCCCCACCCGGACTTGTGGGTCCACAGACTCCAGAATTTCCCTGCACCTTTGTGCCCAAAGAGGAAACGAGGAAGGAAAGAGGCAGCCGGGGTCCAGAGCCCCCAAAGTTGAAATGCCCCCCAGAGCTGCCCCCTGATGCCCCAGACTCTCCTGCCTCCAGAATTAACCAAAATAGCCGACCACCACCTTGTCAAGGTCCAGCGGGGTCTCCCAAGGGTGACTCTCCATGTGACCCTGAGCCCCTGTTGGGAGTTGGGACAGGACCTGGGTGATCCACGGAGAAGGCCCAACCTCCCCCCATCCCTTGGCCCCTCTGGGGCTTCTTGGCCTTGGGGTCTGTTCCATGTCATCTTGGTCCCACGTCACCTCTTCTTGACTTCGCACTCCTTCCTCCTCTGTCCCCACCTGCCGAGATGTCCGCTGCAGTCCGAACTGGACGCTGGCTCCAGGCTTCCCTGACCCCCACCCCAGCCCAGCCCCCTTACTTGTTTAAATCCAGGGAGAATCGGGCCCCTCTCTCCCACGGCCTGGGTCTGTTTGCTGAGGGACAATTGGGGGAGAACGTGGTCATTCGTCCTTTGAGGGTGGAAGAGGAGAGAGACGTACTTGCCCGTTTTAGCTACTAGCTTGTCCTGCGTCTGGTTCTATAGGACCCACCCCGTGAAGGGGAGCTGTGTGTGTGTGTGTGTGTGTGCGCCTCTCCCTGCAGGTGACACGAGTCACCAGCTCAACAGCAAGTTGCTTCCGTCTGTGCCTCACATGCAGCAAACCCCTCTCTGTTCAGGCGTCCCTCGGGGACCACTCTGCAGGGGGAAGGTCCCCCGGGGGCCTGGACCTTCAGAGGGACACTGCTCGGCTTCTGTTGAAGGGCACCCGGTGGCCCGCTAACCCCCACCCACTCCTCACACGACAGATGATCCTCTTGATCTCGTGTAGGGACATCCCCCAGTGGCCCCATCCCCAGAGCCAAACCGGAAACTAAATTGCCACCTAGGTCTCCCTGGTCCTGGTTTTCCCTCTCAGGGGTCAAAGAAAAGAATTCCATGTCACCACGTCCCCCTCCTGTCCCCCCACGTCCACCTGGGCTCGGCCTATGGACGCCCTTTCTTTACCTATGTGGGTAACGGGACTCTGTGTCCAGGGAGCCTGCATCTCCTCTCTCCCTGCGCCACCCCGTGTCCCCACATCGTGCCCCCAAACACAAGCACAGAAACCCAGACGCCCCCAACCTTCCGTAACCCTCCTCCCACCTGTCGCGGGTCCTCCGAGGCGCTCTGATCTCTGGACCCCTCGCTATCTTGAGACATCTAGAGCTGAGGGGACAAGCTTCGGCCTGAGGACCCAATGGCTCTTGTGTCTCATTGATTTGTTTTTTAATTGGGAGGAAAATATCAAAGGAATCGTAACATCTCACGACTTAGAGAAGCTCTAGGAAATGCACATGTCACGACACACAGAATTCTCTTCACGTGGAACTTATTTATTCACATGTTGTCCAAGTGGCTTTGGGGTTCCAGTGACACACATAGATGATGGGGCCCCCCGATTGGAAACGCAACCTAGACCTTGGCCAGCTGGGCCTCCTGTGACCTGGGGGCTGATTCCCAAAGGACCAGTCACCTCCTGTGTGGTTCCCAGAGCAGGAGGAATGCCTGGGGGGGGGGGCCTGGTTTCAACAGGCGACAGGCTGTCCCACGGCCTGCCCTAGGGAGGTAGAAAGCCCCCTGCCCTGGACAGGTGTGAGCAGCTGTTGACCACGTGGCCTGCATCCTGTGGAGGCCGGTCAATCCCCGGGGTCTGCTCTTGAGGTCACTATGCCAGGGGTGGGGTTCCCCCGTGACCTGGGGGGAGCGTTCTCATGACGGTGCTTGACGTGGGCGAGGGGCGCTGGAGGACCCCCATCTCTGGCTTTCCTTCTCCCGCTCGTTCTCAGCCTGGAGCCCCCAGATGCACCTCCCTGTCCGCATGTCCTGCCAGCCTCCAGTTCACCCTGGTCTCGTCCCGAGTGCGTGGCCATGCCCCCCCCACCCCCCGCCCGGGTTAGCTCCCTGGAGTAACACAAGTCACCACACGTGTGCTGGGTGGCTTAACGCAACAGAAATGTGTCCTCTCGCAGTTCTGGAAGCAGGAAGTCCAAAAGCTCGGCGGTGGCAGGCTCCCTCCAAAACCGCTGGACCACGGAGCCCCCTCCCAGCCCTATTTTGTATTTTGTTTAGAGACAGGGGCTCAGGAGCTGCTTAGGGCCTCGCCATTGCGGAGGCTGGTTTTGGACTCCTGATCCTCCAGCCTCGGCCTCCCCAACCACTGGTCCCCGATTCTTCTTAACCTCTTGGTTCTTTCGGCAAACCTCGGCGTTCCTTGGCTTGTGGCTTGTGTCCCTGGGTCTCTGTCCTCTCCTATTCTTCTAGTCCATCTGCAGGGCCCGTGCGGGGTCCCGGGGTGAGGAATTGAGCATGCCTTTTCTTTTCCTTGGAGGGGATACACTCCACCCACAGCACCCACCAGCCCGCCCGACTCTCCCCTCCTGCTGGGCATCCTCGTGTGGCTTTCCTGGGGGCCTGACCAGTGAGTGGCCTTCCCTCTCGGGGGGAAGGGCCTTCCTTCCCAGGCCGTAAAGGGTGCGTCTTTCAGGGTTGGAGGATCCCCTCCCTCCACGGAGGACTGAGCTGGGGGAAGTGGGCCTTGCCAGGGCTGCAGAAGGTGGGCATGAGACCCCGAGTGTCCCATGCCCCTTGAATCTAATGCAAGACAGAACGCCCCCAAGGGAAAGCTCTGGCCAATGGTGTTTCCAACAGGGTCCCAGCCTGCTGTGGGTTGGTGACTTTCCCAACATTCCATGGCTCTGAGGCCAAGGTGAAAATAATGTCGGATTTTACCTCGTTAGGAGGATACCCACCTGGGCTTTCATCTCCAATCAGGCCACTGAGACCCAGATCCTGAAAGATGCTGATCTAGTCCAAAGAGGCAAATAGGTAGCACGTCTGTCTCCACCGCCAGCTCCGGCCCCCTCTGCAGACATTGCCAGTCGATCCCAGAGGCAGCCACAGAGCATTAGAGGTGGACATGCGTGACTGTCCCTGACTGCAGGCTTCCCTTCCTGTCACAGGCACAGGGTTGGAGGCCCAGAGAAAGAAGGTAAAAGTTCCCCCGAGTCAGCTCCCTTGGAACAGGCAGAGGCTGGTTTAAACTCAGAAATATCCAGAAGCCCCGGGTTCGGGGTGTCATTGACAGACATGTGTCAGGGCCTACAGAAGTTTCACTCAGGGGACTTGGAGGGGGCAGGAGGAAGGATTTTGTCCCCAGGCCCTAGTGTCTGATGCTGTCTGATCATCTGCCTGCTGCTTGGAAAGGATCTCTTACTCTCTGGGATGGTCTCCCTGCAAGGCCCCAACCTCACCCCCAGCTATCTAACAGCTGGGCTGGGAGGGCCCACGGACGGGGGGCGCTGAGAAAGATGGCCGTGTGTGCATGGTGGTGGGCAGGGGACCAGGAAGATGGTTCTGTATCAAATCAGTTTGCAAAAGTTCCATAGTTCTGTCTGGCATCTGGGGAGCTGGGAAATGTCAAACTGTGAGGAAGAGGAATCTCCTCTATATGGAAGTTTCAGAATTAAGTTTTCAAGCAGGTGTCTTCTGGGGTCCTAGTGGACCACCAGCTCTATACCTGAGCTCTTGCCCCTGACACCAGCTTGGCGGCCAAGAGTACCTTTTGCAGACTGCCTCTTTGTTTCCTTCCTCCCCTTACTGCCCCCTACCCAGCTGGTCCAGGTGGGAGCAGGGCCTTTGAGTCCCACCTGGATGCCCGTGGCCCAGGTTCACATGGAACTCCAAGACTATTTTCTTTCACTCAGTGGGTGGTTTATTGAGCACCTACTACCTTTGCCCGGGGCATTTGGTGATGAGCCATGCAAAGCCTCCCCCATTCTGAAGTTCAGAGCCTAAGAAAGACAAGGAAATGTCAACCACAAAAGGTACACATTTGTGGCTCACAAGGGACTGGGGGAGGAAAACTCAAAGGGGAACAGAAACTCCGGGTGGGCTCCACGACAGAGAGTTATTGGCAAAGGTCTTTGGGAGGAGGTGACATCAGTGGAGATCTAAACAGGGAGGGAGGGAGGGGAGGATGATCTTTCTAAGCCAAGGTTTCTCACCCTGGGGGGGTCGACAAAGGGCCCAGAGCGTTCTTTATGGTGGGTGCTGTGGTGGGTGCTGTAGGAGCATCCTCTGTCCTCCCTGTTAGATGCCAGGGCACTGCTACCCCCC